TTATATATATATATATATATATATATATATATATATATATAGCAAATAATATATATATATATATATATATATTATATTAACTTAATAAGTAAAAAAAAAAAAAAATACACACCTGAAATATAATAATCTTTATAAATCCATTAATATTACATGCGATTTATTATATTTAACTCTTTCATAGGCAAATGAAATGCAATTTCAACCAATCTGTATCATACAGTCAAGGCACGTCAACCATTTTGTACTAGCTGAACTATATAAGTAGCAAGAAATCGTAGAGATGCGGTAACGCATGTGATGGGAACAACAGTATAGAATTAAGCGCGTATTTAAAATTTATACGATAAAAATTTATCTATTCATTGAAAAATATTTCAAGAACAAAAAGAATATTGATAAAGAGTATCAAAGTAAAACTTTTAAAAATATATTGTATTTATTTTATTAAATTATTAAATATTTAATATTGTTATTATATATTCAATATAAGTAAAGATATATTAATATGTTTTAAATATATATTTTGAATTAAATTATATATTATATTATATTTAGTTATATAAATTTAAAAAACCAAAAGAAAATAACACTATTTTTTAAAATAAAAAAATTAATATTTTATCAAAAAATATTCAATTATTTCAATATTATTGAAATAACAATACTTTTTTTCTATATTATATATTTATATATAATTTTTAATTATAAATATTTTTATATTATAATTAAATTTTGTGTTTTATTTTTATTAATTTATCAATTTATTTAAATATTTATTTAATATATTTTATTATGTGTGTTTTATATAATTGAATTATAGAAATTAATTATTATAGAATTAATTATAGAAATAATTATAATATATATATTATATTATATACATATATATATTGTATAACAATAATTAAAAATATATTATTGCAAATATTTACACATTATATATGAAAAATATTTACGTGATAATAAAATTGATTTTAAATTTAAAATTAAATTAAATTAACTACAATAATATCAAAATAAATTAAAAATTTTCTTAATTTTTTAAAATATATTTTTTATACATATCATTTTATATACATTTTATATAATATTTTATTAATTCAGTACATAAAATATTTTCATGTTTTTTTCAAATTTTAAATATGATATAATATTTGTATGTGTAGTTTAAATAATATTTTCAAATTTAAATAAATCATAATATATTTGTATTATATCTGTATGTTAGTAAATTTTTTTGTCAAGTATTATTGAAATTATAAAGTAATTTTAAATTTACATGCTTGGCCGTACTGATATCTAGTTAAGAAACTCAATGAACATCGAAATATATCCGAAGTGTCAGTATAAAGAACTGTCAAACTTTAAAAAAATGACAGTATTTTATAATGAATTTACGTCTAATTAAAAATAATTATTTACAAAGGATAAAATAATTAAGATTAAAATTTTATGTGAGAAAGCAGTATTTATATTCTACATTATTTAACCATTATTTACTTTAGAATTTAAAATATATATATACGTATAACCTAAAAAAATCTATTATAATTTCGAATATTAATTAAATATTATCACGCAATATATTCCACTATTAGTTCATTTTATTTTTATATAATCTTAATATTATGAATGCATACAATGGAGATTTCAGAGACAAAAAACCTTGTTAGAGATTTGGATTTAACCCTACAACCTCGTATTTTTCCACGATATAAAGCTTGGCTTCCTCTTGCTACACAACAGGTAATTATTTATATAAAATGATTATTGTCTATATATTATAACTTTATAAATTTATTATAATGATTAATGGCTATAAATTCTGTTTTTTTTTTTTTAATATAAATCAGTTTTCAAGAATAATAAGATTTTAATAATAAAGAAATAAATTCTTTGATTAATAATAATAATTATTATATGATAATAATAACTATTTATATTTTAATATTATTTTATTACAATATTATTATGTATAAAATAAGATTTTTATACACATGCTAATTTATAAAATATATATTTTCAGTTAAGGCTTAGAAATCTTATACAAATAATAGGATGCAATCTAAAAACAAATAATGAAGTTTGTTGGTTTTATTATACTCTACATAGAACAAGTATGTCTTCTCCTTTATATACAAGTGAAATAATAGATAATGTAAATCCAAAATGGTCAAGTTTGGAAGCACCAACCATATATGCTACCAATTATTCTACTGCCAGTGGTGAGCTTTGTAATCTGTTAGTACCTTGAAAATAATCATGTGCTCATAGGTATAATTAAAATTAATAATTAAATATATTTTTTATATCTAATTTATAATTAAATAATAATGATGTAGTATTTAATTTAATTTATAAATTTATATTACATTAAATATATAAAAAGATTATTTTTCTTTTTTTTTAATAGAAGTCATTATAAGATTATGGAAAAGAGTGATTGTTAATAATATAACTACTGATATAACTGTATTTACATGGGGCATATCTTTTACTGGCTTGGCATATATTGGTCCAAAATTACCAAGTACCTTAGAAACTATTTTAAAAGAAAATTCTTTAATTTTTCAATTTCATGGTGGTTTTTTTACACCAACATATTGTTTTACTGAAACTCCTGAACTGAAAAGATATCTACGTATAAAAGTTAATTCATCTGAAATAAGAGATAGTTATACTGTGAATAAACTTAGCAGCTTGAGAAATAAAATGCAAGCATTAAAACAACAGACAGAATCAGTACAAACACTTCGAATGCGAATTGCTTCTGGAGATAATTTTCATGCACCAAAGTATCCACAAAGTTCATTAAACAGATTATTTCAACCTCGTAAAGTAAATAGGGAGAAAAAAGCTGAAATAATAAAAATCCGCAAAGAATTAGAAATAGCAAAATTTAGAACAAAATTATTAGAACAAGAAAGAGCAAGAAAAATGGGAGAATTGAGAGTATTAAATCAAATGCATTCTAACATTATGGAAGAAAATCAAGATTATGGTATCAATTATTAAATTATTTACAATATATTATAACTGAAATAAAGTGATTTTAATGTATTTATTAAAATTAGGTTCCGATTTAATGGAAAGATACAGGGAATTAAATAAAGATATTGAAAGATTACATGAGTGGCGACAAAATCAAATAGATACAAGAGAAACATATATTCAATTGAGTAATCAACTTGCTCATAGAAGAAGACAATTGATTTCAGAATTAAGTTTAATATATCCTATTTCACAAGTATGTGTATGATATTTCATAGGACATTAAATTTTAGAGAAAAGTAATGAAATGAATCACAGTATAAATGAATGTATTTATGGCACAGGATGGAAATCGAAAATTTAGAATACATGATGTTCATTTACCAGATAGTGAGGATTTAGAATTATCAAATGATACTGAAGTTGCTGTAGCATTGGGATTTGTTGCACATACTACACAAATGATTGCCAATTTTCTTAACATACCTACTAGATATCCTATTATACATTATGGATCACGTAGTAAAATTATAGATCATATTACAGAAAATTTACCTGATAATGAAAGACAGTGAGTATTTTTATTTTTTATTTATTTTTTTATATTTATATATATAATTATAATATTATAATTATTATATTATTTATGCTGTTTTAATGTTATGTTATATGTATAATTATATATTTTTAGATTTCCTCTTTTTGCTCGAAGTAAAGATAAGCTGCAATTTCGTTATGCTGTTTACTTATTAAATAAAAATATAGCTCAATTAAGATGGTATTGTGGCCTTCCAACAACAGATTTAAGGGCAACACTTTCAAATCTTGCTACTTTAATAAATATTAAACCAAATCAATCTCAGTATGTTATTTTTTCATTAATAATTAAATATTTTGTAATTATAATGTATATAATTAATATTTTTTTAATTATAAAATTTTTTTTTTATAGTTTAGATAATTCAAAGCGAACATATTCTACTTCATCTTTGGATATTGAAGTTGGAAATAATAAACAAAGTATAACGCCACCAATACAAAAAATAATTTTTGAAAAATGTCATCGATCTTCACGATCTATGAGCCAGTTAAAGAATATAAAATCTTCTCTTGGTTCATCTTTAGATCAAGGTTTAGATAAACCTGTACAGTCTCTTGTTTTAGGCAGTCAATCAAAGCGAATTTGTAAATCAGAAGAAAGTGCCATAGACAATAAAACATTGGTACTAGTAAAAGATAGATCAACTAATAGTAGTAATGAAACTTTAAATAACGCTATTTTAACTAATAAATATATAAGTGATATAGACAATGAAGATAACTTTCAAATAAATGAAGTTGCAATAGAAAATAACATTGAAATCATGATACCAACATCAGTGTCAAAGACAATTAATGTTATGGATAGTTTTGAAGGTTCAGTAAGTGTAAGAGATAGAAGCTCGAATTCTATAAGTAGCTGTGAAATGGCACTTACTAGTAGTCAAAATGGAGATGATAGTTCAAATGATAATAATACAAAAAAAGATGAAACTAGAGAACTTATTTCAATTACTAATGAAATTTCAATAAATGTTAATGATGTTGTAGATAATGCTTTAAAAAATAGAAAATACAATGAAGATTATAACTTAGAAAATCAAACTTCAAAAGATTATGATAATCTTAAAATATTAGCTGATAAAAGTTGTAATGATTATGAACATACACCAGCTACAACAGAAATCTCAACATATAATAAGGAACATTTTGCTAAGTCATGTTTATCTTTGGATGATATAATGTGTTGTGCTTATGAAGAAACTGAAAAGAAACAAAGAACGAGTTCTATTTGTAGTTATCCAGAAGAATATCTTTCATCAAAATATCTTACATCGCGAAAACGATATAATTCTGAATCAAAGTAAGTATATATTAAAATATATGTATAAGAAATAAAATAGATATAATAATAAAAAATATATATATATTTTTTACTAATAATTATCTTTTTTTTATATATAAATAGAAAAGACCGAATAGATTCTTTTCATGCTAAAAATTGGTACCATAATAACACAAGTAGAGAATCAATGGTAAATAAATTTATGTTAAAATTTTTATAAAAATATAATTCATTATTATTAATATAAATATTTTTTTATATTTCAGTTGGAAACGGAATTAATAGAAACAGCACAAAAATCAGATTGCTATTTATATGATGAGACAAATAAATGTGACTTCCAAGCATCAAGTGAATACATTGACATTATTAGACGTAGTTCAGAAAATGTATATGCACGTACTGAAGCTTTAGCTAATAAGAAAACTAGTTTTAAAGTTATGAAACCACGACTGTAGTATTTACATTTTAGAATATAACAAAGTGCTGTTAATTGTTATAATAGTTGATATCCAAACGCACTAGACCCAACAAAAATTCACTGCATGCCATATAGAAAAGATTAAATTAATATAAATACTGTTACTATTATGAAAAGCGAAAATAAAACAGTCTCGTATATTTCTTCAAATTATAAAATATAAAATATTTATATTTATTATAATTATTTATTTAATTAGATAGAAAACATTATATTTGTTCATTATGTTAAATAATGTTTTAATATTCATATCGCTTTTTACATGAAAAATTGCTATGTGATAATATGTCACTTCAGGTACTAGTATTTACATAATAAATTTTAATACACGTGTGCAATATATAATGGGTCGTGCAATAATAATTGTGCTTTTTATTGTTTACACAACATTAAATAGATAGAATATAAGAAAAAAATTATAATAATGATTCTTTATATATAATATTAAAATTAGTATATGTTTATATTTTTTAATTATATAAAGTTATTATGTAAAGTTGATATTATTAGCATTCCTATAAAAAAACAAGATTATTAAATTGACTTAACATCCCTATATAATTTAAAGTAATATTTCTACATATATTTAATAGATTTCAATATTTTGAACATCTGATTTCAAATAATATTTCAATATATTAATTAATAATTATAGTTTTTAAAATTAAATCTATTGATTATATAAATGATACTAATATTTAGACAAATTTATATAAAAGGACCAATTGAAGAAAATACTAGTTATTTAATATTGAGTTAAATATGTTACTAATTACTAATAATTATGATAAAGAATACTTAATAAAATACTATATTAGTTATTTAATATTGAGTTAAATATGTTACTAATTACTAATAATTATGATAAAGAATACTTAATCGATAAAGAAAACAATGAAAATTAAACAATTACTGAAATTGTTATAACTTATTTCAATGTAAAAAGAAAAATTAAATTAAAAGTTACTAAATATGTTTAAATAATTTAACATAAAATTGTACAGATTTACTGCATTCATGTAAGTATATGTTTTTTATTAAATTTAAGAAGTTTTATAGCATTGTAATTTACTATAATGAATAATATGTTAAAATATAATTACATAAATTTTTTTCTAATTTATAACTTATGAATAGAATATATTAAATATATTAGAGGAATGATTAAAAATTTTATTATTACTAATAAAAGTTTTTTATTTATTTTATTGTTTTAAGAGGATTTAATAAAATTTATAACATTTTCAACATTCTATTTTAAAAAATTATACAGTATGATCTTTTTTATTTATAACATTGTGAACAAAAATATGTTGCTATTTCTTATAAGATTTATGGCAATAATTTCTTAATTTTATTATATTATTATACTCTTATTATATTATTATAGTCTTTACATACAAAAATAAATATTAAATGGCCACTGAGATATTAAAAGTAAATTAACATATATATATTATAAATGAAAATGTTCATTTTAAAAATTCATTAATTCTAGTCAATTTTGCACTTACATCCCATAAACGTAATGCTACATTAGGATCTAATTCTTTTTTTGGAATATAAAGTTTACAATCTCGATAAATATTACCACTCTCATTAGATAAGGATGGTTCTATTGCACAATGTAATATTGTTTGTGCACCCTATAGTAAAAATATAATAAATATAATAATATATTAATTATAAAATATTACAAATAAATATTTTGTGAAACATACTATGTAAAAAAAATATATAAAAAATAATCACCTGATTTGCAGTACGTAAAAATAATAGAGCAACAGGTGAAAAAATAATGTAATGAAACCAACTCCTTTTAACATTTCTGAATAAACCAGTGTAAGTGAATCCAGGACAAACCATGTAAACATTAATATCATTATCTTTTGTTCGTTTAGCAAGTTCAATACCAAAATAAGTATTTGCTAATTTTGAATTACAATAGGCAGGATTCATGCGTCCTTTAACTACCAATCCTTTTTCACAATTTAAATTGGAAAAATCAATTATTCCAGATTCAAAAAGTTTAGATGTCACAATAACAATTCTATTGAAAAAAATAATGTAATTAAATATATAAATAACAAAAAAATCGATATTTTATATGGATATTTAGAAATAGATATTTATGGCAAACCTGTTTGGTCCATTTTGTTTTAAATGTTCCAAAAGTAAATTTGTAAGCAAAAAATGACCTAAATGATTTACTCCAAAATGAATTTCAAATCCATCATCAGTTAAAGCTTGTTCTTTGAAAGGAACATATACTCCAGCATTATTAATTAATACATGAATCTCTGCAAAGTTTTTTTATTACTTCTGTAGCAAATTCTTTTATCGATGAAAATGATGCCAAATTTAATTCCATTGGCACCTAAAAAGATAATATCATACTTTTTTATATATATATTATAACAGTAAAGATTAAACATATAGATTAAAATTATAATATTATATCTATTATATCGATTGTAAAATATAAATAACTAAGAAAGTTACCAATTCTCCAGTAGATATTTGAGTGCGTATATCAGATACAGCATTTCGAGCAGTTTGTATATTTCTACAGGCTAGAATGACTGTAGCTTTTCTTTTAGCCAATTCTTTTACTGTTTCTTTACCAATACCGGAATTAGCACCTGTTACAATGAATACTCGACCTACCAAACTGTCTGTATTTTTACATCTTCCCCATGTACGTTCACGACATTTTCGAAGTAATCCAATAAATAACACTACTGGTAAAATGAAATAACACCATGAAGATACCATATTTGTCTTAGGAACTATGACAATATTAAGTAATATTTATTTGTATGGAATGACTAATCAATATCTTTGATTATTCACGTACTATGAATTAAGAAATCACGCAATTTTAAAAGATATTTTATAAGTTAATCTTGTTTATTACATATTTCGATATTAAATTTATATTTTACAAATTGTACTTTAATATAAAAGTAATTATTGTAAATATATATTCATTCATATTCATAATATATAATTATTAATATAGTAATTATTAAATTACAATACTTAAAAATTTATTAATAAGCATAACTTTAATAAAACGTTTATATCTATCGTAAACGAATAATTTTCTATCAATAAATAGAAAATATATATGTATATGTATATATATGTATCTATATTCATCAATAAATTTAGTAGATTAATTAAAAATTTTAATCATAAATATTATAATATTAAACATAATAATATTTAAATAATAATACTTTTAAAAATAATATGACTTTTAATATTATTTCATTTAATTTGTTCCATCTATATTTATGAAAATTGTATATATATAATAAAATATTATAAATAAATATTTTTAAAAACTTTTTTAAAAATATTTTCTAATTGTTGTTCACAATTTTATAACAATATTAATATTTATAAAAATATTAATTTTATTATTTTTAATAAAAAGACAATTATTTAATTATAAATATTAAATATATAAATATTTTTATTATTTTTGATTTTTATTTTTATATTTTATAATACTAATGTTTTATATTTTATATTACACATTAATGTTTTTACAATAATCTTATCTTAATAACAATATATTTTATCTTATGCTAATCTTCTATCTTATTCTCTTCAATTCAAAATATATTTTGTATATATTTTTATGTATATTTGCTACATACATATAATTTTGTATAAAAGTTTAGCTTATTTAATGAAATATTAAATATTATAAGTCCATGTAAAATTTAATTACATATATCATTATCTATATGTAATTTAAATAATATGTTTATTGATATATTATATGTTTATTGATTAAAACTATACTAGATGGCAACTCTTACTCTTGTTATTATCCATATGCTATAAAAAAATTCTATATTTACTGAAAGAAGTGTTTAAAATATAATAATACAAGTAATTTAATTCTTTAACTATAATAAAACTTAATTATTTGTATCATGGGAAATCTTTGTCTATCTTGTTGCAAACAATCATCTTCATGTGAAGATTTAACACCAGACTTGGTAAGATTGGAAATTTTAAGGTTATTCCAAGTATATAAATATATCTTTAATATTTTTCATTGATATTTGTTTTTAATCAGCCAATTTATGATTTTTGGCATAAATTTTTTTATTTTAAACTTCTTTTTTTTTTATGTATATTACAACTCTAAACTATATATTTAATTTTTGCATAATAAATTTTATATTTACTATATTTGATATTATTAAAAAATTTTTTTCTTTATAATTATATTAAGAAAAAGCTTTTTTAAAAAAAAACCCATGTTTATTTAAAATGTATAAAAGATATTTTAGATAATTTTTTAATATGATGTAATAAATATTTATGAAAAAAAATATTTCTTATTTTCAATATCTAAAAAAATTATAAAATATTATTATAATAATAAAATATCTAATTATATTGTACTAATAAAAAAATTTTAAGAATAATTTTTTAAAAATATTTTTTAAGATTAAATTAAAGAAATACAAAAAGTATTTTTTTTTTTAGGAAACTAGAAGAAGAAAACAAATGGAAGCTGCAGAAAAGAGAATTGCTGAACAACAAAATCGAGGAATTAAAAATATTGAGGCTGTTAAAAGACAAGAAAGGTTAGATCAATTACGTGAAAAACGTCAAGAAGAAGTTGGTAATAGAAATATACAAAGTAATTTAAAGGTAAGATATTTAATTTGATAAGTAATTATTTAGATTATTTATATAATTATGCATTTACAAATAATTTAACAATAATATTTAATAGAAAAAAATTGCATTTTACATGAAATTTTAGAATGTATATTATTTAAATATTTTTCATTCTTTAATCAGTATTGTAATTAGAATAAAAATATCTTTTTAATCTCTAAATATTATTACATTCTATTTAATGAAATAATGATATTTAATAAAATATATTTATTCTATTTTATCTTATAGTTTTGTAATATTTATTTATTCAAATTAAAATTAAAAATTCATAAAATTAGAATATCATAAATCTTTTAATATCATATTATATTATAATAATAATAATTATTTTATTTTAGTGGCAAATGAATTAATGGGACATTTTAATGGAAATTAATTATTTGCTGTATCTATAAATTTATTTTAAGAAATATACAATTAATTTAAGATCATAGATAATATATATATATATATATATATTATATATATATAATAATGTACAAAAATTGTATGTTATATGATACTATTTCTTAATAGAAATTAAATGATGTCGCAGGTCTGCATTTTGCAAAATTTAAATATTTAAAGATGTACACATTTACATACTTATGTGTATATCTGTTTTTATATTATGTTTTCTATAGTGCCTTAAATAAATTTATATAAATTATACCATTTTATATAATAATTAATAATATAATTATAATGTCACTAATTATAAGTCAAGATACTATTATTGTTGTATATTATAATTTTTGTTTAAAATTCTATCAATATTTTTTATTATAATATATTTTAATATTAGAAATATATAGGTACAATATATAATATTGTTACAATCAAATTCATCATATTTTGTTGTATTGTTGTTGAATACTTTTATTAAAATATATTTATTAATATATTATATAATATTTAATAATATATTAATTAATTAATTAAATATTGAATTTAAATATTGAAAACTCTTTTACTTTTGTTTAACAAAAATATATTTATAAAATACAAGGCTAGTGTATGCATATGTGATATAAGGCTAATTTATTTAATTTATTAAAAAATTTTATTAAAAAATTCAAAATCAAAAATAAAGTATACATATAATTATGTTTTTGATTAAATAGTTAAAAAATAAAAATAAAAAAAATTTATATATAAAAAACAAAAATTGATTTATAAATCGATCTAATTGTTTATTTAAAAATATATTAAATTGTACAATTAATAATAATAAAATTTTTAATTTTATTTTATTGAGAAAAAAGTTAAATATATTTATTTAAGAAAAAATATTAATTTTAAGTTTTCAAGAAAAGAAAACATCAAGAAAATCTTTATTAAATATTATTTAATTTATAATTGAAGAAAATTATTATTTTTCTTTCGTAAGTTTTTTTTCATAAAACATTTTACAATGAAAAATGAAATATCTTATATGTATTTTATTATCAAATATTACAATTTGTATGTGAGATAATATTAGTAAATTTATTTATGCATATAAATAAATATATATATATATATGTACATGTAATAAAATATGTAAAATAAAAAATATGTAAAATATAAAATGAATTTGTAAATGTTTACTATCACATTATGTTTTTTTAGAGGAAAATCCTTCAATTTGTACATATGTTTGGCAAATTATAACTTTTAAGAAATATATTTAAGATTGATTAAAAATACACAATTTTAAAGTATTTCAAATTTTTCCTATCCGATGTACTGACCAAGATCGAAAAAGTTTTTTTGTGGATTTATTCTTCATTTCTCTTCCATGAGCAATTTGTACTTCCAACGATGCTCCATTATTTAATGCCAACCATGTATGAATTTCATCAGTTGCTGCAGAGACACCTAAATATAATATAAAAAAATTAAGTGATTTATAAATATTAATATATTTATAATATGTTGTTAATTTTAATTTAATTTAAATGAAAAAAATTATTTATGCAGTTAATATTAATATATTGTGAGACATTTTTAGAGGATCGATTTAAAATAATGCAAAAGTTAATATATGAAAAACAAAAATGTTGTATAGTTATAACCGATGCTCTTTCTAACAAACTATATTCTATATATAATATATAATTATATAATAATATTCAAAACAAATTCATCAGAATAAATAAATATTTTATGATAATAATTACACTTGCATGCCTTCCGTTTTTCAAGTATACGTTATGTACGTTCCATAAATATTTCGAATTTTTATTTTTATTTAATTATTCATCAAAATATTGCTTGGTCTTTAGAATCTATCCTCAAAAAATATTTCACGAATATGTTAATATTATATTAATATAATTGGAAAAGAAGTGATATACGTGAAAAATAAGTAAAAAACGTTGTATGAAACTTTTTTATCCAAAACTTCGAGGAAATCGATTTTTAAAATAATTATTCTATTTTTATATTGATACAATACAATTGAAATTTCTATTTCTACTTTGAGGAAAGCTAAAACATAAAATAAATTAGATTTAAATGTACCTAATAATTCATGTAGAGTGATGCGTCGGCTAGCTAATAATTCTTTACTAGCACTTCTGATTTCAAATATTAATAAAGACTGTCTGGGAACATTATCACCTTCTATGTGAAAATCTATACTAAATTGTGGATTAGGCATTGCAGGTAAAAGCCGAGATTTTGCTAATGTTTTACCATTATTTGTCGAAGATGTAATTTTATCTGGACTGGTACATCTAATAAATAATAATTTTTATTAAAAATTATAATATTTTATATATTATTAATAGATCTATTTTCTTTCAATAATACATACATTTGTAGCTTAATTCTACAATATAGTTGAGCAATATGTGCGACATGAAGACCTTGTGCTTGTAAGACTTTACCTTCTATACCCGAATACTTTTCCTTAGAACCATTGACAACTTTTAATTCTAATTGAATAAATATATTAAATGATAAGTTTTAGTATGTTATAATATTATAATATAATTATAATATAAAATTTTAGAAAGCACATTATATTACACATTACAAACCATTTGGTCTCAATTTTAAGCGTGGACTAGGTTGTCTTATTCTGCCAAGCATATCAGGTTGTGATACGGCATGGGCTAAACCAGATCCTTGTAGAAGTTCTGTAGCATCAGCTTCTCCTCCTCCTCTAGGTTCCAAGCTTAATGTTATGCCTTTTGATTCATTCTTCTCTTCTATATTTACTTCTGAACGAAATCTACGTAGTTTTAATCCCCTTTTTACCTAAAATTATTTATAATGTTAATTTTATTATCAAATATCTAGATATATTTTAAACATATTACATTTGACATATAATAATAAATATTAATTTTAGATAATAGATTAGATAAACCTATATTATATTAGTGTTTAAAGATTGCTAATATGATAATTTATATGTATTATATATTTTAAGAATATATATATATATATAATTATTAATTATAATGATAACCTTTTGTTTCATAACACGAAAACTATTATATTGTGGCAATTTTTTGCCAAAACTTTGTTCCGGACTTGGAGTCAAACTGTTATGAGAAGATCGCCGTTCTCTTAATTTTGTTGTATCAGTTTCATCAATTACATCTGTTACAGATTCTGTAATAACTCTAGGTATCCAGGAATTTTGGGTTCCATTCATTTCATTGGAATCTTTACTTCCAATACTAGTTTTGTCTATATCAGATAGTTTAAATGTTACAAATGATCAAAGAAATTTAAAATATTTGCAAATAAAACTTTTATACAGAATATTATATTTTTAAGAAATAATTTACCAGATTGACTAGAATAATTGGTTTTAATAAAGTGACTGTACGCGGGGGTGGTGGCGGTGGTACGACATCTAAATGTAATCTCAATTTTGACTTTTCCATCGAAGGTCTTCTTATAATATTTGACACTGTCTCCGAATTTTCGATATTTAATTGAATCGAACTTTCGCTAATATTGCTGGCTGCATAAGTGCTTTGAATCTAAATAAAAATGACAAAAAAATCGATTAAATCGATTAAATTTAGAATATTTTATTCAAGTAAATAATTAAAACAAAAATTTTTTATACCTCACATTCTTCGGATAAAACTTTAATTTTTAATTCTACAGATCCCGTTTTAGTTCCTCTTAACGTGAACCAATGGGACTGATCATTATTTGATAATTTTCTAATATCATCGAGAGTCAATGATACTTTTCCAAGATAATCCTTCATACCAAAAGTATCATGATCCCATAATACCTGTACCAATAAATAAATAGATTATTGATTAATTGTATTTGTCATTATTTCATGAATATATCACAAGAAGAAAAAAATCTTACAATATCCAATGTTTCGCCATTTCTGGGCAAACCCATAATAGAACTTTCATCCCAGCAAGGATTTAATGTTTTTTTCTTTATACTGCTTTTGTATTTAGTTTCATTATTTAGTTTTAGTTCACAGAAAGGATCGCTGAAACCATTTAAATCTTTTGCAACAAGATCTTTTGCGCGTATTAATGTCACTTCCATTAATCCACTTCCAGTGGAAAGTAAACTGGATACGTCTGATGAAGTGGGATCCATATCCTTGTGAGTTAATAATAATTTCTGTAATGAATGTAAAAACATATAAACATATATAAGAAAGTGTAAAAATTAAATAGTATTTATCATAATAATTATAATCATTAATTATATAATCAACAGAGAGTAATTCAATAATCTTGCCCAATATTCATAATCTGTGATCATTTAAATGATCATATGTATATTTATTACGTTAAAAAAATTGAAAAATATATATATATATATATAGTATAATTGAAATAAATATTTTCGATAAATTATGTTCATGCAGATTATCTCATGCAATGATAAAGAAAAGCATATGAATCATTAGATAAAATATTTAAAATGAAATTTATATAGCAATTTATATATAAAGCAAATTATACTTGCATATTAAAATAAATAAGTAATTTTTTAAATATATTTTAAAATTAAATAAAAAATAAATATAATTTTCTACAATAATATGTACATTATTATTATAAATAAATCATGAATTTTGATTGCATGATTATAATTACTTCTTTTAATTAATCAAATAAATTAATCAATTACTATTGAATAATATTATTATTATTTAATAATTATTATAGATTTTGCATTAATTATAATCTTTAATCATTAATCGTTTTATCCAATCGTTTTATACAAGATTATACTAACTGCCTGTTGCATCCATGGTAAACTGTTTCTTTTAGATTTTGGTTCATCATCTGATATTGGGAATGTTAAACTACTTCTTCGACTTGTGATCACTTGCTGTACACTTTTAACAGGATAGAACAATACAGAAACTATCATTGTCGATGTAACATTTGAACCATTTAGAACCAATTCTTTTCTAATTATCCATGTATTTTCCTGAAAAAAATTGTTTTAAACATTTACTCTATATAAACATATGTAAATATATACGTATAATTTACAAATAAATATAATTAAAAGTTTTTTTGTAATCTTACTTGAGATAAAGATAATATAGCTAATCCTAACATGTCACTATCAGCCGATTTCGATATATTCCACGAGTATACAACAAAACTTAAAGATACTTGAGTATAATCTTGAACAAGGAATTGTGCTCTTGATTCCCAACATGGTGATGTAGTACCTTGAATGTAATGAGTCGTCTTCACCTGTAATAAAAATAGAAAATGTTTAAGAAATTAAGAATCTGTTTTTTTTTAATAAAATAACGTACCTTTTTGCGATTGTTGAATAGTATACAATAAGGATTGCATTGGGAACTGTCGCTGTTTAAATTTTCCGCCGAATGAATATAAACTACAAGTACTCCTGAAAATTATTTTCTTATAAATTAAATTATAAAATAAATTATTACACGATATATGAAATCATATAATATTACAAAAGTCATGATTTTGCTATATAATTCACAAAAATATAATAAAAAAGATTTAAAGTGTTTTAATAAAAAGAAACACTTAAAAATCATGCCCGAAAATTACATTCACCATCAATGCTACAATAGTTTTTTATGTTTTACCTGATTTTTGAGCTCGATTGGAATACTTTCGCGACACTGAAAATATTAGATAAAATAATACTAACAAAAATAATTATATTTCGTAAAATTTCATGTTATACTATTCGATGGATTTGTAATAATTCATTTACTTTCCAATAACTCGACCATCAAAAAATACGGAATATTAAATTCTCGAAATTACCTGATAAATGCGAATTATCTTCCGTTAATTCTGGTTGTGGTAAGTCTGGATCCAGTTTTGGTAGTGCAGTGTATTCTAATCGAGCGTTGATATTTGGGATATTAGCACTATTCCGGGACGGTTTCTTTTGTTGCAATACTGTTTCAATTCTTTAAAATAAAAATTATAGTAGATGTAAATATATATTCTTTTAGATATGTATTCTTGATTTTTTTTTTATTTCAAATAATATGTAAACTTACACTTGCGAATTATCCCAATTATAAACCCCAAGCGCAAGTTCAAACTGAGCTAACGTGATGGTACTAACGAGTCGTTTTGCTTTTAATTTGATAGAGATTTTTTCGTTATCTAAGGCTCCTACTAAAAAAGATACGTCCTCGTTCCACGTGGAATTTAAAGTAGCTGTAACCCGTCTTTGATCTCCCAATGTTACTACAAGCCATCTCATTTCATCTCCGATGGAGACTATGAATCATAAAATATGAACTTTTTTATATATTTTTAAAATAACACTTTGAGACAATATTTAGAGACGATATTTTAAACAATATATTTTATTATAGAATTTAAATTTTAAATATATTTTAAGAATTATATAAATCAACATTTTATTTAAAGAAATAGTTTTAAGATACTATTAATCAAAATTTAAGAAACTTCAAAAATATATGTACTCACAATATATCAGATTAAAAGAAATCGAATCTATAATTATTATCAGAATTCTCTTTGTATAGGACAACATAATTTTAATTCATATCTATAATACCTCAAATACTATGATTGAATCACAATCAATGAATTTTTTTTTTCATTTGATCTGTTTCGTTAATAACTTTGTATTTAAGTGTAGTAAAAATTTATTATAATTTCGGCCAAAGAATATTTTTCCATATTTTATATCTTACTTATTTAACAAGTTAAATATTTAAGCACATGCAAAATTAAGGAAAAATATTATAAAGATTAAATTATAAAAAAGAAAAAGAAGAAAGTAAGAGGAGTGTTGTTCACCTGAACATCCATTTTGAGATAGAACAACGGTAAGCACTCCTTGTGGTATGGAATTATTTAGTGAATCAAATTTAGGTCCAGGCCGTTCGTGAGCTCTCAGATTCATTTCTAAATGACCCGGATCAACGATCCAACTAGCCAGAGCATCCGTGACCACCGCATGAATCCAGGTCTTAATTAAAGGCATTCCATCATTTGTACCGTTTTCAAGATTCTCACGCTAACCAAACGTCTGGTTTCTCTAAGAAGCTCACGCTTAAAGAGGTTGCGTGAGGAAACGGTGCATTGGAATTAAGGGTCAGAGTGGCGAGAATGGTACCCGAGAGAGACAGTTTTTCCACGGCCAGATCAACGTCCATGCCAACCCTTTAATTCAAGATTAAATTTTTATTCTAGTTGAATAATTTCGATAATTATCTTTAAAATGAAACTTTGATTTTATATTTAGAATTGACATGAAATTCAATGATATTAAATTCAACTTATTTGCGATTTAAATAATTTCTTTTTTAACACATTGTAACTAAAAAAAGTAGAAAAAATAATATTTTTGAAAAGATCATCCTGAAGATTTAATTTCTCTCAATTTAATTATTGAAAATACATTAATGGAGTTTCAGTGTGAATGAAAAATATAGACTATATACTAACCCTTTACCAAATAATCTTGTTGTGATGAGCATACGAAATTGTTCGCAATCAAGTTGTATGTCAGCTTCGATTGATAATTTCATTTGATCTGTTTGGCTATCAATATCATCGTCATTTGCATAATCTACAGTTCTTACTCGTGTGATATAAGGGGTTTGTTCTCCAAGCGTGAGTTCTCTCAATTCTAGTGGCCCTAGAATAATATTTTCCATTAAAATCATTTTTCATAGATATGGAAACAATGATAAAATTCCCTATGATGAATTTTTCAAATCTTATGTTCTCGTAAAAAATATGTATCGTGTTAAATGCTAAATGATAAATTACTCTTAAATTAAAGTAAAAAATAATACAATAGTGAATTATATAATTTTTTCGAAAATTTTTATTTTTCAATGATATCTTGTTATTATTTGGAATAATGAGCATATCAACTTTAAACTCTCCATTCTTATATAAAATAATTTTTAATTCTAAAACTGGAAGCAAAAATTTAACAAAAATATTGTTAAATATTATTCTTTCAATGTTTTTATCATAAATTTTATTTTTTAACATTATTTTATATTATAAATGAATTTTATACTTTAAAGATATACTTTAAAAATCTTAAAATACAATGTTCAATATTTTACTCTTATTTGACAATAAACAAGTTTTTTTTTTAATGAAAGCTGTGAAAACTTACCAAGTATTCCCGGTTTGGCTTCATTTAGAACAGGTTCCAGTCTTTCTTTTGCTAAAGAAAATATACTGGCAGCACTAAATCTCCACCTATATATATATATAATAAAATATTAAGCTACAGATATTAACGAAAAAATAAAAATTAATTTTAAAATTTAAGTTATTCAATAATATATAAATATATAAATAAGTAATAACTAAAGATTAATTAATAATATTATTAAAAATAAATATGTATATTTTATTTTATTAATTTCATCAAAATAATAATGCTCTATTCACAGATATTAATTTTAATCAAAGTTAGGTATTTATTGATACAAATTTTCGTACCATACCATATAAGTATATTTGAGCTAATGAAAATTAAAATATTATAATTTATTATAATTTAATTATCTGAATGCTTATTGAATGAGATTATATCTGATAATGATTAAATAAAGTGGATTGTAAATCAAAATAACTAAATTTAATATAGCTATTAATAATAGCTTTATTTTTTGATATCAGATTATTTTATATATTGGAAATATTTTACTTTTTTATTTCATCGAAGTTTAAATTTAATATTATTTTCACATTATTTAATTTTCGAAAATTTCTCGTGAAAAACTAAAATTAATTTAAATTCAAGATCACTTTTTGCATCTTAAATCCAATATTTAAATCTTAATTAATAATTTATTTTTACTTTAATTATTAATTTAATTTATTACTTTTATAATGCATTTTTCTTAAATTGTTTCGTTATTATGCCAAAATGAATAAAAATTTTTGATATGTAATGTCACATGCTGTGATACTACATGAATATAGATGTCCGGTTTATGTTCCTTTCCCCATGGTACGGTAATGAATTTGTGTCATTATCGTTAGAGCGCAGTTAACTTGCATAAACTACTTCAAGTTATAACGTTACGTTGTAAAATATTTTACGGTTCGTTTCCTTCTGTTTGTGTATCGTATTTACGGAAAAAATTGGAGTAGAACTGAATGGAATGAAACAATTCAAGTAATTTTTTTAAAAGAAAAATTTACATCGCACAAGATTCATTTGAAACTTTTATATTATTTTTTTATCCTCTGGTATTTTACTTGTTCAGAAAATATATCAATAATTCGAGTTTGCCCTACTTTTCCCTATGCTTTGTTTTTCGTTATTTTTATATCATATAAGTGAGTAAGTTTTCTATTTTCCATTACTTGCATCATAATAACAGTTTTAAACGTGAAGGCACAGGAAGAAAGAGAAAAAGGGTTGCTCGGAAACAGCTTGAACAGGTCTATCAACTATCCAAATAAGTAGTATTCTTTCCAGATAAGCTCTCTTACGTTGTTTTACTATCTTCGAGATCTTAACAAACGAGAAAATGTTGGAGATGATGAAACCATGTAGCTAGAATGTATGACAACAGGTGCAACAATAAGTAACAATCTTTAACGTAACTACATCCTTATTTCAATAATATTAAATCTTTTCTGTCATATCTTTCGCTTCAATTATCGTATAATACTTTTCTACAGCAATATCATTAACATAAATTTTTTAAAACGAATTTTAAGAATCAATATCTCGCTAGTTAATTATTTATTTTCGATATTCTTCGTGCAAATTTAAATTTTGAATCAAATTGAGAAATGTTAAAAATAATTTTTTCGTTTAAAAATATATATATTTGCCAATTATATTTATATATTTGTTCAATTTCTAAATATGTATACGTATGTTTTCTATTATTTATTTACTCCGTTTATTTTTATTTAGAGAATTTATTAATAAGATTTTTAAACAAAATTTTTATATTAATATCATTGTACTTCGAAAATGAATTCTTTGAAAAATGTATTCTCAACAGTTATATTTGGAAAAACTGGTTTTAAAACGAGCATATTAAAATACGAATGGAGGTCGGCTCTAAACCTCTACGGTTTTGTCAACTACACATCAGCAGCAACAGTATTCATACATACATGCAGTAAAGTACTAGTGAAACGTGAAAGGCAACGGTTATACACTCGAGGAATGTGGAATATTTACAAATACCTACATACTATTAATTCCTGAACTACGTTCGTTCATCTATAATACACAGCTACAGCATTTAACAATTATCGAATCACGAATAGATAGATAATTTATATTTGAACATAAATTAAATTGGAATTTTTCGCTTATATTTGTTTATATGAAGTTAGTCAATATTTATAACATTAAGGCTTATTACGATAAGAATCGATAAAAAATTAAAATGTAAAAATTAAAATAATTTTAATCGTATACAATATACACGATGTTTATTATTAAAATTATTTATAAAAAAATCAGATATTTAAGTTATACACAAAATAAAAGGAGTAAAAATTATTATGAGATATAATGAAATGAATAATTACCATCTATTAAGTAGTAAACTTAGCCATTCAGCAGTTTCATCTTTATACAAAGCTCTTCTTCGACGTAGTCTAGCTAATTCACGTTGAACAGTTGACTCAAGAAGACGGGATATCCTTGCTTTAATTATTGTCGCTGCTAATGCTAACACCAGCACTAACCATGCTAGTGATAAACCTACAGCACCTATTATCCATGCAATAATAAGAGCCATTCCAAGATATAACGCGCCACGAATGGCTTCTGCATCCCTCTGCAAAAAATAAATAATAGTCTGTGTTGAAAAATATAGAATTATTATTCTATCTCTTGATCAAGAAATAGTTATATTTTTATTGGAAATTTTATAAAGAAAAGTAGAGAATGATTCGTGTAAAAAAAGTTAAATTTCTTAGAAGATGTTTACTTTTTTTTGTAGAAAAAAATATACAAAGTACTGTTTCTTTTGTTAAAAGATTTCTTACATTTAAGGAAAATATGAATAAATTCTTGTTTCAATTTTGAATTCAAGTTTTTTTTAAATTTAAATTAATTATTTAAAATGTTTTCTTGTATATTGAGATAAGAATGAAAATTGAAATATAAAAATTAAATTAAGATAAAGTTCTTGGATTCGATTTAACTTTTAATCGTTTATTATATTAATAGTGCAATTCTTTTGATACTTTTTCATTCAAAATGATCATTAAAATATTTTCTTTTCATATTTTAGGATAGAATAAATATATTATTAGTAGATAAGAAAACTAATCAATAAAAAAAAATTTTCTATAATTCTAATAAAAATTCTAATAGAAAATTTTTATACATGAATAATTAAAATATTTTATATGTGTACAAAATTAAATACAAAAATTTTTAATGTTTCATTTGCACATGAATAATTTATAAATATTTACTATATTTATTATTTATATATTATCTTTAATAATTTATTATAAGATATTAGGTTCTCTTAATATTATACAATATAATATATATATATGCAAAGGTTTATATTATATTTCAACTTTATTATTTTTACATCCTGTTGAGAATGTATTACGATTATTACATTTTCTTACGAATGTACCGAAGTCTCTCTAATAAAAAACGAAATAAAGCGAAAGTCGTACACAATAAAAATCATTATTCATCTTTCTAAGATATAGGACACGATTCATGTATACTCACGCAACATCGCGTGCAAGTTACATTTTAAGAAGTTTTTTTGGTGTCATGGAAAACGCCATTAACCTATGAATGATCAAATCAAATTTCATGGATAAAAGCACTTGATTTAAATAAAAATATTGTGCATGTTTTACATTTTTATAAATAACTAGTGGAATATTAATATTTACATTATTTAATATTCAATGTTATTCAAATATTGAACGATTCGTTTCACCATTTCTTAATTAGCATATAACAAAATAATCATGATCTTTTTAAAGTAAATTACAGCTTTTATGTATGCACAAATAAGCATAAAAGTATAGTATATACATATTTACTATATGTAATCAGGAGAGCTTTAATTAAGAGAAAGTTTCATCACAAAATCTGTAATAAACTTCTTTTAATATACTCGATTTAATATAAAAAGATTTGTGATTAAAACTAGTAGTCTTTTTAATAATGATCACTTAACAAATTTCTTATTTTCTTTATTTAAAATTAAATATTTAAATTGACATTGTTTGTTATAAAATGTATGATATCTCTATATAATATAATATCCCTGTGAGGATTTAAAATATATCCACAGTATCCTCTGCTTGTCGTAAAAGGGGACTAAAAGGGAAGAATTACAGATTGTTACAAACCTGTAATTTTTTTTTAGAAAATACCGAAAACTTTTAAAAAGAAAGATTATAGAATTAATGGAATATATTAAAAAAAGAAAGATTAAAAAAAATTGTGTAAGATAAAGAATGAAATATTAAATAGATCAATAATTAAATTAAAGTTGCAATTATAATTTTATTATAATATAATTTTAAATAAATTTTAACTTAAAGATTTTTCAAGAATAAACATCAAATTATAATTATTCAGAAAATTAATTAAACATCACAGAATTTGGTAAAAAAATGTGTATTTTCTATATCTTTTGATCTCATAAATAAACTTTGGACTTATAAACTTTAAGACTATAAAGAAAAATATATTGTTATCTCATATCGTATATTTACGCAATAGTAATACTATCTGTCCCGTCAAGAACGTAACATTTCATTAATTAGAAAGTTGTCCAATGCTAAGAGATCGACTTCGATCGTAAATCACTTGGTATTTCGAGAAGAAATCTTCGGATAATTTAAGTAAATACATCTCTGTTCCTTAAAACTGGAACATATTTAATCTACATTTTTAAAAATGATATATTCTTAATCCAAAATTTTTAATAATAAATTAATATGTATCATTAATTATATCAAATATAGATATAGATATATAGCTTACTAATAAAATTTAAAAAATATGATTTAAGATAGTTTGGTACAAATATATTATATTTTTATTATTTCTCATGCAATAAAACTTGTCATTTCAATAATTTGTATGCAATCATAATCACGTTTTATGTACATGTAAAATATACATATATCGGGACAATGAGACCGCGTAGCGTAAACGACCATCCAGAATAATATTCTGGAATTTTTGAAAGTGTATCAGAACTGACAAACATGTTACATTGCTTTTCAATTTATATCGCTATATATATCTCTTACGTTTGTATCATTGTAATTACACAGACAGTGTGTGCGAAAAATATAAATGTCGGACAAGTTTCGAGACAATTTTCGTCATGCAAATGATAAATGACTAAATAGTTAATAAAATACGATTATGTCTATATAGTAAAAAAAAAAAAAAAAAATAATATTAAAGAAAAATCAAATTAATGAGAAATTGTAAGAATATTTTATGTTGTGATTATTAAAAAATAAATTTTACATATCATACATATATAATCTATAGACAATATATATTTTAGTTATATTTTTTCTTAAATTTTATATCTTTTTACAATTAGATGAATTTAAAATTTTCTTATACCTATTTCTATAAAAGATAAATTTATTGATTTATTCTTCATGTAGAATTTTATTTAAAAAAATAAATTTAAGTAAACTTACATAAAATTTAATTTGTTAAATCAAGGCTTTATTACATTAAATGAATATTATAGAATATATTGCAAATAAAAGTAACACTTGGAAAAAAGATCAAGTGAGAATAATTTAAAGTAAAATATTTTCATTGTAGTTTCAATATATTTTAAGGTCGTTTAATCTTTATACGTATTGTAGATAGTATGAGGATATATATATATATATATAATATATAATATATAATACGTAATGTCGTTCATCTGAAGAAATACGTTTTCTCAATAAAAATTACATTGTGCAAAGAATGAAGAAGATTTTCTATGATACGAGTACTTTTTCTTCAAGGAATTCGCGCCTTAATAGGGAGATTATTCTTCTCCCTTTAGTGTCGACGAGGTAAGGAATGTAGCGATAAAAATCGCTCAAGAAATCTCACGAGTTCCGCTCCGGAAAGAGTTGCTTGGTACATATTTCCCACGTATATAGATAATAACTTCTTTTTTGCATCCACTCAAAAATGGAATATCGTATTGCACTTTGCTTAATTGGATGCACTTGATTTATTATCATATTCTGATATAGACTAAGAGAATTAAATTAAGTTATTGCGATTGAAATCATCGCGTACAAAAAAAAAAATAATTGAATATTAAGTGATATTGATTGTCGATAATAAAAAGAACAATGTATTAGATGCGCACGTTAATTCGATGTTATTTTAAAGAGAATTAAAATTCTTTTAATTCTAATTTAAAAAAAGTAATTTAAATCTTAAAAAAATTACATATTTAATAATTTTTAAGATTTTTTTTAGTTCAGAGTAGAGTAATAAATCCTCTTTGTTAAATTAAAATCATTTGTCTTTTTCTTGCTTGCATACGATAAAAATCTTATTATATCATTAAACAGTTACAAAGAATGCTTTCTACAATAATGATATTACAATTTTCATATAAAAAAAAGTAATTTAATTTTTGTATCGAACGCATCATAAATTTTATTTTATCATCATATAAATTACGTTTGATGCTGCATTTACTATTACCTGAATTAGATATTTTTTCCTTCCACGAAAAATTATAATTCTTTTGTAAAGATAATTCAATCTCGCAACCGTGGAAGAAAATCGAGAAAATATTGTGTTTTCAAGTTGCGATTCACGTTAAGCATCTACCAGCCCCGAACATTTCCCGGTGAGCAACGCTATTGTGTCTTTTACCTTTGATGAGGTTGACCATTCGAATCACGTAAATTCCGTCGAAAAATTCCTACCGTTACAAGAACACGGACCATTGGAACTATGTATTTGCGTGCAGAGCATTACATATGAAATGAAAATGAGACATGCAGCTATTTACAATTACACAGATGTCTCATGCACAATGATAACTTCGTATTATGACATACGTCTTTCCTACTTTCTCTCATCGACACGTGTACACGTGTTTTTCAGTCGATAATTTATGAAACTTTTAAATATTGATTTTCTATGTGTATGCATCTGATGACGCAAATTATACCGTTTTTCAGAATAATCACTGTTATGATAACTACTGGTCCATCATAACAATATTCCTTATTTCTGAATTATTTAGGATAATTTATAAATTATACATATATAAAAAAGTACGTATATTAATAATATTTCAACAATCTTACAATGTATTATTAAACGAACGATTTAATATTTTAGCAGAAGCTATTGGTAATTAATATTAGGAAACGCTATTAAAGGAAACGTTAACATGCTCATTAATTATATGGTCGTTACAGTAATATACTCCCGTAATCCGTTTTAGTGCATGAAATTTACGCAGAGTTGCATTAAGAATTTTTTATCGAGTAATTATTATAAATTTATTATAAATAAAACTAACTGTACTTTGTATTAAATATATAAATGATAATTAAGACATTAATTATTATTTATTTTTATAAAATTAATATTTTATCTGTATTGCATTGTGAATCATGTTTTATAAATAGATAAAATAGATTGTTAATTTAAACATTTATTATGCACCGTTTTGATTTACAACACATTGATTTACGAGTGATAATAAATTATATGATATCACTGCAAAAATGAAAGATAACACGATCAATTTAAATTATTATTAAATCATAAAAGTTATTTAATTAAAAGAAGTTTAAATTTGCATAAGTATATAATATCACTATACAAATTACATATATTATACATCTCTTATATTAAAATTCTAATTTAAATTCTCTCTTATTCTAGCTTTAAAGTTTCTACTTATTTTTTCTAAAAGGTGACATTATATATGTAGATAACAATAGATGTACCATACAATTATGCATGATAAATGTACGAATATATGTAAAAATATTTCTCACCTGAGTTTTTTGAGTAATAGCTAAAGCAAACTCTTCATCGGGAGCAGTATCTTCGGGGGTCATATTGGCACCCCCAGGTGCAACACCGTATCCAGCAGTATTGTTAATGGCTTTGGATAGACCCCCTATCGAACAATTACTTATTGAGCTTCCTCCAATGATATCTCGTTTTCCTGCACAAAAAAAGAAAGAGAAAAATAAATATTAATCAGAAAGAAAAATAATTTTATCTTATCTAACATAATGATTTGAATATTAATATAATTTCTAAAATAAATGTAAGTTAATTAAAAAAAAATTGTAATTCAATATGAAATGATTAAAACTGCATTTTTCAGTAAAATTTAATAGTTATTATTGTTAATAAATTATTATTATACATTAAATTTAAACTTGAACATAATGTCATAAAATTAATATTTGAGCATTGATTCAATTTTCGCAGAAGCTGCATTAAGAAAATAGACAATCCGCCGTCGATGAAGAATTTAGAACGGGAAGTATCAAAAATAAACCAAGAAGATATCAATAACGATCGAATTAATAAACTTGACAATTATTATAATATATACTATATATAATAAAAATATATTAAACCTAAATAGATGATATTTTATATTAATATTATTTATAAAAATTTACAAATTTATATAATTCTAAAAAATGCAATACGTATATAATTATTTCATTTAAATATAATTGTTCTCCAATTTTTGCAATTTCATATATGAAATATTGTTATCAATAATAGTTTAAAGATGAAAAATTAGAAGAAAAACGAATTTCTTCAGTGATAATTTTCTTTTTTACCGTATTGTTAACAAATCATGATATCGTACAATCTTGATATTTTTTTTCGTGCATAATGTTTTCCTAATCAGTATGTATATCAATTGATGCAACTAGGGGTGCAAGGACGAATGCCACAATTAACGATAGCGCAATCTACATACGTGATTAATCCAGGACAGTCTTCGAGATATATCGCGTTTACTTGATCCATTTATTAACTCGTCTACCTCGATTTATGCTCGTCCTTTGAAAATGTCGCGTGAACCTTGTACATGAATTCGAGATTGAAAATTCTGATTTCTATAAACGAGATCTCTGTGATTCTCTTTGGAAAATTAATATATATATATATATTTTTATCTGTCGTATCTTTTTACAAATGAGAAATTTAATATTTTAACGAAAAAAACGAAGAGAAAATATACAATGAGATTCTACACATGTAGATGCAAATTATATGTATTAATATATTCATTAAAATTTTATCTCTATTAATATAATATTCTATTAATATAACAAATGAAATATTAAAATTATTTAAATATTAAATATAAATTAAATTACTTTTAATTTGTTATTTATTATGATAAATTTTAATTAAAATATGTAATGTTCAAGTATTATGTTTGGATTAAAAGATATTAATTTATACGCTTGTTAAAAAGAAATAAATGAAAACTTTCATTAATTTTAAATACGAATGCATATATCTTTCTTGCATGCATCTTTCCTATAAATACCTTGAAAACCGTGAATGTGAGATTGTATTATAATTAGAATGTTTTATCCGATAATATATTTATATGTACAAATATATGTATCAGGCCTTTAATTTGATTTTTTAAATTTAATTAAAAGAAACAGTATAGATATTTTTCTACACTTTTTCTATTCTATTACAGGAAATTCAGATACTCTTCAATTTTTAATTAGAAATTAATTCATAAATCTAAAGAAAGATTTAATCTTTTTTTTTTTTTTGAATTTATTAACGTTAATGTTCAAGAATTTTAAACTTATCTAGAGATTTTTGAAAAATCTAACTTCACGATTGAAATGTCAGTAGACATGCACGATTTGATATACTTAAGAGTACGAGCAGGAATAATCGAGGACAAGACCTTGGCATTATAAGCATCCCTTGTAGAAATTGATATCATACCTTTTCAAATGTTATCGCAGCTAACAGTCGAGTTACAGAATTGTTCAGAATCTACATTTTTTGAGTAGTTTCTTTTTTTTTATAAATGTAATAAAATTACAAAAAAAAGATAATTGAAAATTAATGTAATTATTTTTACAATTATATTTAAATAATTTTAATTGTTCAAATTGAATATTAAATTCCATTGATTTATTTTTATTTTTCTACAATATTGATCCAATAATTAATGCCGATCCTTAATTTTGAATATAAATTATTCTAAAATAAAATCTTTAAAGTACTTAGTTAACATTTTGTAGATATTTAGCGTGTATATATAATTTTTAAATTACATATATCTCAAATAAAAAGTGTTGAAGTAAATGAAAGTATTTTTTGTTTCTTTTTTTGTAAAATTTATGTACGTCGAAATATAAAAATTTATTGTAATTATGTTGGATTACTTACAAGATACGATTTTTATGTACGTTTTGAGTGATATAATATTACATTTCAGTTAAGAATCACTGCAGTATCCGAACTGATCATATAATACTAATATCGCGTGATTATAACCGCTTCTTTAAAACTTCACATAGATATTTTGGTTTATATTGATCAAATAACGTAGATCATGCGCTTTCTATCTTTGATTCTATCTACCATAAGAAAGGCAAAACGATTTCATTGTAATTGTAACATTGGTCTCTCCATGGAATACTATTTAGAATCTTTTGACATCGCTATAATCGTGTAAGTAATGATAATAATTAATTTAATTAATTTAATTAATTCCTCACAGAATTGAATATGTCCAACGTGAAATTTAATAACGTGTTACGCGAGTATTAAATAATAGACCTATTTGAATATAATGAATTTCAATTTCTTTGAAGTATATGAATAATTATAATTTTGAAAGTTAAAACATAATTATAATATAATTCGTACGTAAATTAAGTGAAATGAAAGAATAATAATATTCGTAGTATTTGTTATAATATAATTTATATTTTCTTATAGATTGTACAATTTATATCTTAATTCTTCTGAGGATAGATAAATGATAAATTTAACACATGATGCTTAATCTTTTCATATTAACCTTAATTAATAATTAGGTATATATGCTACATGAGCTACATATCCAACAATCTATATAAACATTTAAATTTTATACACGCATATCTGGATATACATTTAATTTTATACATTCTGGTATTTTTTAACGATTAACCATTGGCTGAACTAGAATTTAAATATTAATTTTTACAAATGATTCCATGAGAAAGTAGTGTTTACCGTGCAATTCTTTTTAAATTTACATTTACATTATCTGCATAGTAATATTTCAAAAACAAAGCTGAAATCATATCAGAGGAAAATATCTTTCAATGACATCCTTTTTATAAATTAACCTACTTTATAATACATTTCATTTTTTCCTATTTATTTCAGTATTTTTATACATTTGTAATTTTAAAAGAAATTTCATTCTTTATCAAAACCGATTAACTCTCTCTTTCTTCCTCTATAATTTTCTGTAATTTTCTATATTTTGTTTTGCAATACAATTTCTTTTACTTACGAAAGAAAAAAATTATAACGTAATAACAAATCTTTTTCTTTCATTATAAAATTTGAAATTTATAATAATAAATTATCATTTTTCTCTCATTATAAACCAGTATTATTTTTCCTAAACCTCTTTATAACTCTCTATAATATTTCTTTCATTTACAAAAAGAAAAATATAATTACTTATAAGTTTTTTCCAAGTCTAAAATTTGAAATAATAATAATAATAATAATATCACAAAAAATGATTTAGAATCAAATGCAATAAATATGTAACTTCTATGTCACGTGACTTTATAAAATAATTAAAACAATCTATCCTCTTACAACCCATTAATTTTCACAATGCGAATAAAGTATCTTCTTTCGAGACAAATCGTTTGGAGAAAGTAAAACGGAATAAAAGATTAATAGATTAAAAAAGGAATACAAAGGCGCGTTGTTAATTCAGACTTGACTGATAGAAAGTCGTTTGGACGTTGAAACGGAAACGTACATGAAATCACGAACAAATCCTTCGATCGTGGGAGAATCGTTATTAATTGGTCATGTATCGTCAAGAAAATCGGAGAGTCGACGGTAACAAGTTCAACAAAGAAGAATGCAGCTCGAGAAACTCGTACTTCTATCTTGGTAATTACGGTACTATTGTTTTAAATGAGTGTTCACCTGATGCCTCGACCGCAGTATCGTACCTTTTTTCAAGGATGCTCCTCGCTTCAGGTGCCTCGCCATGAAGCTGGAAAGTAGCTGCATACTTTTCTTACGATAGATTTCTTCTCCTTTTCAATGGGACAGTCTCACCGGTCACTTTTATCCCGATAAAAATTATCGATCAAAGATCACCTCAGTAATCAGACACGCGAATATTTTGTTGATCGATGCATGGAACAATTTATTTAGAATTATTTAAGATGGACATAGAGATTCTTTTTTTAACCGATCTGAATAAAGGAATTTAGTAGAGTTTCTTACGATGCTGGCAACTTGTACGTGCTCATCGTAGAGACTTTTTCACGAGATAACAATGATTAAAATGAGTGATTCAACACGAAATGTAAAAAAACATAGCTTGAAATAGAAGTCGTGGGTTGAGGTAATTCTTTTTTTTTCGAAGGAACGAGTGAAGTTTCTGTTACAATAGAATTACATTTTTTGATGATGAATTTCAGAAAATTTTCTTTTGATGAATTCCTTTGAAATATTGTTTTTAATGTCTTGACAGTAATGTTTCGATTTTGCAACGGAAAGAGTGGGAATATATCATTATATTTCGTAATGTTTACTATTCTTATTAAAATTTTCACATCTATCAATATACATCCAACTTTTTTTGTAAGCATTGTTAATGTTAAATATTATATAAGATTATGTAACATTGAAAACTTGAAAAATGTAGAAGCAAAAAAGTTTTTTTTCAAAAGGAATAAATTTGTACAAAAAGGAATGATTCTTTTACAAAAAATTATAAAAGTAATAATTTTAAATTTTTATCTTTATAGAAAGAGGCACACAGATTTTAAAGAAAAAAACAAATCTTTTCTCAAATAAAAAGTATGGAAGAAGAATATAAACATACATTGAAGAATTAATCTTTTCCCACGTTAAATATTTCGCGATAAAAATTTCTCGTGAAAAGTAAAAACTGAAAAAGAAAATTCACTTTCATTCATCGTGTCAAAATCAAAACTACGAATCAATCGAAATCACAGGGACAAAACTGTATCGTAGAATCACCAAATATTTTTTTAATTAAAATCGATCGACAATTTTAACGCAAGATCCGTTTTTCGTGGCACAAAAATAATCGAACCCGAATGACGGAGTTCGTATTTTCCGATTTTCCATTGTTGTCAGAAATAAATTGTACTTAAGTACACCGATGCTTTTCTATCGGCACACAGGCTCGTACTGAACGCGATCAAATTGTTGGTACCGCGGATGCTACTGACCATCTGTTTTTCTTGGAAATTATTGGTTACATTCGCGCTTGCGCTACTTTTATCACGGTGTACAGGTGTACATTATGAGCCTGCGATTGATTAGAAATATATCGTTGAAATGTGAAGGATTGGTTAATCAAGAATTTGACGTTCTAGTTTTTTTTTCTTTTTTAGAGAAGTTATGCGTATAACTTGTTACTCGTTAAAAGAAGATTTATTATTTTTAGAAAGATTTTCGTTCTTTTTTGTTTTTTTATTCATGACAGTTCATTATTCGTCTTCTACTAATATTTTTATTTAACATTTCAGCTGATAAATTTTTCTTCTTGTATCGGATTTTTTTTTTTAAACATAAATTATATGTTAGAAGAAAGTAGTACGTGTATTTTTTGATAATTTTTTGCAAAGATTTCTTTTGAATATTTTTTAGAAATAATTTATTTAGTTCGATTAAATTTAATCGTATTTATTCTATATTTGAAACTTGATTAATCCTTTCACATACAAACTATATTTTTCTTTATTCATTCATCTGTAAAAAGATTCTTGCAGAGAAGTGTATGAAACTTCAAAATAAAAAAAAAAATAACGAAATGTATAGATTTGAAACATGTTCACACATTATTTATTACAATGATGGTAGATCAATATCATATGCATGATATAAGAGTGCATCAGTATATTACGCCTTCACACGAGATCTGTGATTCTAATGTTCACAATTCCAGTATATCGTTGTTTAATGGCAATATGCATATGTAATCTAAGATATTGATAATATTTATATAATGGATTATCAATATGATAAGAATAAAAAATCGAAATTGTAATATCTTTTTACTTATTTAACAATCTCAAGATTTTCAAATTGATAATATCGAACAAGTAAAGAATTAACACCACTTTCCATCTAAAAATTCAAATCCTCTTTTCGTGTAACATGAATAAATGATCTTACATTTTTGAACGATAGTATCATACAATATCACATATAAATCAAATGACACTATATGAAAAGTTTATCTCTGAAAATACCATGATCCATTTTTTTTTTTTATTCTTCACGATAAATATACGTTCCATCCAATTACTACGTTACAACATGGCCAGGGTAAAAGTAATTATATCGACGATATATCACGTTACATTCATACATGTGCGTATATAAGCACGTATGAATGTCCATAAACGAAGTCCAATAAATCGAAGGAATGAATGAGCCAATGAATGACGGTGTATTAAATTTTTCCATAAAAATAAAGGACACCCCCTCCCCTCCCCCCCAAGTGGCATAATCTTCTACGGGATTAAAATTAAAGGAGCTAAATCATTAAGATCTTTTGTGAAAGATATCGGTGAAATGACTAATGATAGTAAGGGCGATCCTCGTCAGATTGTGGCGTTGCCTTTCAGGCTACCAACTCTCGTCGCCGACCTCTCTTTTCCTTCTCTTTCTCTTTTATTGTTCTTGGCCAACATCTGTCTTACGCGCCATACCTTACTATGCCGCATTACATTGCCACAACCCGTACATAACGTGGCGATCCGACGAGTCCGAGTTTATGGTGCAAGGTGCACCGTCTGCTTCGAGAATTTCAGAGAATTTCTGAAGAGAAAAAGCACTTCAGGGACGTACAACCGGACACGTGACGCCCTGTGTTGATTAAACGATAGAATCGATGTTAGTTTTTTTTCTTCTTCGTTTAAAGAAAACTTTAAACCGCGACCGAGCCTGTAATTTCACGAGTTCATTCAGGAATTCCACGAAGAAATCAACTATGTATTTCAGTTTTTATTACTTTCTTTTTTTTTTTTTTTTTTTTTACGATTCAATGGAAAATTATATGTTTAATTTTTGTTGAAACTTGTAATGTTCGGTGATATCGATTTAATCGTCAGATCGTTTCAATAACTGGTTATCGTCCATTCAATGCTTTTACAAATTTTAGCAATATGAGAGCACTACAAAATTCAGAAATATAATGTTTCGAAACTATAATATTATTATTTAACGGTGCATTTGCAAATCCAGAATGAATGAAAAAGATCTATCTATGTGTGACATCGTAAATAGATGTAAAAAGAATTTTCGTCTTCTTCGAAAATTGATTGAATATGTCTGATTTATATTAATAAAAGAGAAAAAATGTAATGTAATATTTATAGGAGAAAAATATTTTTTCTTCGTCTAATAAAATACATAGTTCTTACATACATAGGTATCTTGGGGGACAACACCTTTTACAGGGTTAAGTTATTCAGAGTTAACTTCAAGTTCTTTCTGAAACCTGTTCTTGTTTTGTCGAAGGAATCGACGCCCTGACTAGCTTCCTATTCTGAACTTATTTACATATTTATACAAAGGTACATACGTGTGACTTGCGGGAGATATGCACCAGTTTACTTTCTACGACGAATGTTACCAGACTTCATTTCTAAAATTATCCACCGACTATTCGAGTTTTTTCTCTTATTTCTAAACTGTTGAACTGTTGGACACTAAAATAACATCCAACGTATTTATTTAATAATAAAATAAATGCGTTAATTAAATAGCCTTTTAAAAAAAGAAAACGAATCCCTAAGAAGAAGAGAGTTCTCACGTTTTATTCTAAAAAGATTCTAATTCCTGATCTCTTCTATCAAAGATATAATAAATAGGGGAAAAAAGTGACTCCAAATGCAATTTATTTAGAATATATGTTGGAATAAAAATATCATCAGAATTGAGTTTTCTCAATAATGTTTACGTTTTCAGTTCTTTTTTTTTTTTTTTCATTTCTTCGTTGCAAACGATCGTTGCATAATTTCTTTACGGAGTGAAAATACCTTTAATCTTCTGTCATGTTTATACTATCCAAAAACGGACGAAGTAAATAGACGAAGAAAAAAAAATGTCATTGAATACAGGAATAACAATAGAAATGACTTAATTAACATAAGAATTTCCCGTTCGCGATACTAACTTTACTGTTTTCTATTTCTTCTTCTCTTTTACAATAATCTTTGCACGCTACACGTAACTGCTAATGAAAAGATTCTCGATCTTCTGCTCGATCATATTTAAACTATTGAAGACAGTAAATAAAGGAGGCAAAAGTGACATTGAATAGAAATGCCAAGAAAAATGAATTAATCACCATAAGAATATTCGCAATACGCATATATACTATATTCAATGTTTCCTCTTTTCTGAAAAAAATAATAAACTTTCTTTGCACGGAAGAACGTGAAAAATATTTTCGCCTACCTTGATCGAAGTTAAACCAATTTCATAAATTACACGAGCCACAAGCGTAATTAATCTTCGAATATATAGTGAAACACGATGATGAGCAAAATTCATGTGATAATAGC